CAGAGGAGACACACAGAGGAGACATCCAGTGTCTGTCACAGAGCTAGCCTTCACATTCCACTACTAACGCATTAACACACGTATTACAAAGAAAAGGTACGTAAACTAAGTAAGTCAACTAAGTAGTGTAAGATTCTTGATGAAGAATGTAATTTTAAGTGACACAAACTTAGTTTTATAAGTTAGAGAAACATTCCCGATTAAGTACTTTTTATTCTGTATTTTGTTTTCAAAGAACAAATAAAAATTACATAATTAACTTAAGTCAGAGTCACTTAAAGGTACTAACGCTACTTTGATCAATAATGTTTTTAATTTACACGATTTCAACAATATTTGAGTTAAATGAACGTATCTAGTTGTACAGTGTTTGTTTAATAGGAGTTCTCTGTGGCGCTCACTCTCAAACAGAGTGTTTTATTATACATGTTGACTAAATGAATGAGAAACGGCTCAAACATGTCCTCACTCGTCGTGGAATAGTGACAGAACGTCCCACTGACACTGCTAACGGTCAAACTGGGTCAATACTGGTTCATATTCTAAATAACACACTCACATCTCTTCGTGTTTCTCAATTAATTCCAGTTCTTCAGGGACAGACGCCGACATTACTGCCTGCGACCCTCCGAACTGCAGCTACCAAGCTAACCCAGTTTGACATAACACTACCGGAAAGCAAGGGATATGTACTTCAAAATAAAAGCGCCATTTGTTGACGGAGAAAAACGCCGGTATGCCTGTTTTTTTTACTGAAAAGGTCTCTCTGCTGTTTCTGGAAAAAGTTCTTTACATTATTCTTTAATAACGTATAATATATTAGAATTCGGCTTAATGTGTATAATTAAAAACTTTCTATTTGTGTTAATACTTTGAAACATTTGTCCGGAAGCTCTAATGTTTATCTCTCTTTCTGAGGCGTTCAGTAACCATAGAAATGAAGACACGAGGTATCTGCTGCCCTCTGTTGGTTCTATTCCAGAAAGCAGTTGATGATTTAGAAGCACACCGGTTTTCCGTTGTGTTTGTATCAGTTGAACATTTTCTCGGTGGTGGAGTCAGAAAGGTGTTATCCTTTCCTATCCTATCCGTATCCTGTCCTCCAGTGATCTTGAACTATTAATTCACAGCTTCATTTTCAGTCTAGATTACTGTAACTCCCTTACACGTGCCTCAGTCAGGCTTCGTTAAA